GAAGTGCACATTTTGCGTGGAATTTTAAGTATAAGGATTACGACGGAGCTTCCAAAAAATGGGTCCCCATCTACACCAGAAGGCACCTGAACAATTTAACATAATACTTTGGGGATAGATCTGCTTACCTCGGAAGAACTTCATGAAAAGAAAAGACATTGTTTATGTTAGGCATGCATGCAAACAGTTCATGTGAACACTTCAAGTGGTTCACGAGAAAAAGAGAAGGCGCTGATAGAGATTTAAAAACATATGTATATGTATATGTATATGTATATGTATATGTATATGTATATGTATATGTATATGTATATGTATATGTATATGTATATGTATATTTATTTATTTGCATACGTGAATGCATACATGTATATATAGAAAGATATCAAGATGGCGCCAACACAATATGAAATGGCGCCACTCAAGACAGCCCTTGAAAAAGCCACTAGGAAGACATCGGCCAGGTGAAACTATGGCGCCACTTGGGTCTTACATTCCCAGATCTTGCCAGCTCACGTTTTGCCTGAGGCTGCAGAGCTAGTGCAATGCTATCTTGGAGTAGACCTGGAGGATGAGCTTGGGACGGTGGCTTTCCAAGCTTCTTCGCGGCTTCCTTAATTTCCCTGTCAACGCAGACAGGATTGACTGGAAGTGGAGTCTGGCATGCACGGGAACGCGCCTCTCGTTCTCCCGCAGTAGTTCTTTGTATGCGGTCTCTGATGATTGGGCTGTCTTCAATGCCTAATGCTTAGGTCATACTCTCTTTTAAGTTTCTTTTGTGGTAAAGGGCAGCGCTGAAGCGGCGTCTGAGGATGTGGCAAGCTGGATGAGTCGCCAAGGTTCCGTGCCACTGAACTCGGCGTGCAGCAAATGCAGCTTTCTGGGGCCTGACCAGCAGGAACGCGTTGCATCCTGCATGCTGCGAGTGATGTTCTGCGCCTGCTTTTTGGGACTTGTCTTGGTCGTTTCTTTCCTGCGCAGAAGCAAGTTGTGAAGTGTTCCAACAATTGAGGAATTGTTCTTGACTTGCCTTGGGACGAAGACCATGATCCAGTATCTCTGAGCAAATTGAAATCTAGCTGATAAAGCTGTGAGCGAAAGGGCTGACGGAACACGTTTGCTTCGACGCTCATGCTTTCAGCCGAGGATGTGATCGATTACCAATTTGAGGGCCTGGAGGAGGTTAGTAGGTCCAGGGGAGGCTTAAAGGAAGCTAAGCATGGGGCCCAAAAGCTAAAGGAGATGAAGCCTGGGTTCTCAAGGCTCTAAAGGAGGTGAAACCTGAAGCTCTCGGGGGCTCTAAGGGAGGTGAAGGCTGGAGCTCTCAAGATAAACATCTTCGAAACGTGCCGATGTAAGTGAAACCTGGTCTCTCGCATGGAAGCCAAGCAGGTGAAACTTCCGACTGTTGAAGTATATCAAAAAAGGTACAGCGGGGAACTATCAGATGGCACCAAAGTACTTGCAACCTGAAACTCACTTGAGCTACCGGTGTCCCTAGAGAAGGGGGAACCTGGAGCTCTCGGGGTGCTTAGAGGAGGTGAAACCTGAAACTTTTCAAGGAATATTTTTCGGAGAAGCCTTGAGCTCTCGGGGGCCCTAAAGGAGGTGAAGCCTGGGGCTCTCGGGGGCCCGAAAGAGGCCTAAAGGAGGTGAAGCCTGCAGCTCTCGGGGCCCTAAAGGAGGTGAAGCCTGGAGGTCTCGGGGGGCCAGAGGTGAAGAAAGCAGCCCTTGGAGGCTAAAAGGAGGTGAAGTCTGGAGTCCCGCGTCTCGCTGGGCCTAAAGGAGGGAAGCCTGGACCTCTCGGGAGGCCTAAGCCTGGAGCTCGTGGGGCGCCTAAAGGAGGTGAATGCAAAGTGAAGTCTGGAGCTTTCGGGCGGGCTTCTTACACGGGGGCCTGAAAGAAGCTTTAAAGGAGCTTAAGCCTGGAGGCCCTATAGGAGGTTAAGCCTGGAGGCTGAGAGGGCCTAGAAGAGGTGAAGGCTGGATGGGCGCAGCTGTTTGGGGGTCTGGACTTGAGGGTGCTGGGTTTGGGGTGATCCATGCAAGGGGCTCTTCCCATTTTTTCCACTGCGTCGCGCTTTCTCGCCCGTGCAGGAGATCGCTTCATTATCGCGGCTTCCTCAGGATGTCAGGCATCATGGTTTGCTGTAATGTTTCACTGGCAGTCGCAGTGACAATTGGATGAATTATGACTGCAACTTGTTCCGCTGACCAAAATGCTTTAACTCCTCGTCCATCCAGTGCCTAGACAAGCAAGCATGATGCAACTGCAGAAATCGGTCGCATTGATTTGAGACTTTGGGACGGGGGCGCCTCAGCCTTTTGCGAATGAGAGCACGGAGTTCCTCGGTAGCCGCTTCCATTAATGCCTGCAGCGACGCTGCCGTCAAGGTTGCAAGCTTTGGGGTGAAGCAGTAATTATACTTTGTCGGCCTTTTGGTTGAGCGAGACCATATACGGTCCGAGGTGTAGGTGGGCATGTATCCATCTCGCATATAGTTGCTGCACCTGGCAGAAGAGTGCTTCGTGCCAGCATCTTCATGTGCTCAATCTTCAGCCTCTTTGGGACTCAGGGATCGGCGGTTCAGCGCCATGCTTGCCTGCGGTTGCACAGGGCTACACTGACAGGTTGAAGCGTGCCAATCACAGCCGATCCATGCACCATGCAGAGTATCGCTAGAATTTCAAGTGCTACTAAAGACCACCTGCCATGACCACGCTAAACACAACAGAAAGACGTGTCCTCGCACATCAAAACATCAAAATCCTCAGGCAGCCAACCAGACCATCTTGGCGATTAACCTGCCAATTATAGAGAACCGATTCCTAATGCACTTGTTTGTTGGGACGCCACGCCTCCCCATACAAACATTTTGGGAATAAAGTGAAAATCGCTCCGATAAAATCACAAAAAGAGGAACCAATGAGAGAGCGAGAAACTCTCTCTCGCTCTTTCTCTATCTCTATCTCTCTCTCTCTCTCTCTCTCTCTCTCTCTCTCTCTCCTTCTTTCTCTCTCTCTCACAGACACAACAGAAACCAATCACGCTCGCACGACGCACCGCTCCCTTTTTTTTGACATGCGCGCGGCTGCGTGCGGAGAAAAGGCGCTACTGAAAGCAGCCTTCTAAAATTGCAAAAGAAAAGTTGAATTCAGCAAAAGATAATTAGGGTGGGCGGTTATGTGGTACCACCACCCGCAAACCCAGGAGTTTGCCTCTACAAAACCAAAAGCTCACCTAAACGATTGCAACAGAAAGCTAGAACCAACTCTGTTTGCAGCTACCAGAACCCAACAGCAAGAAAGACCTAGGCAAACTCCCGGGGGCGGGTCACCCGTGACACGTTATGGCTATGCAAAACTAGTGTCCAAAAGAGTAGATACAGTATAGTCTAAGATCTCTACACTATAAGCAAGCCCTCTTTGGGACTCAGGGATCGGCGGTTCAGCGCCGTGCTTGCCTGCGGTTGCACAGGGCTACAATGACAGGTTGAAGCGTGCCAATCACAGCCGAGGGCGGTACTCTTGAGCCACGATGGGGCATTGACCTTAGACAGACGCATCCATGCACCATGCAGAGTATCGCTAGAATTTCAGGCAACGGCCATGAGGTGCTACCAAAGACCACCTGCCATGACTACGCTAAACAACAGAAAGACGTGTCCTCGCACATCAAAACATCAAAATCCTCAGGCAGCCAACCAGACCATCTTGGCGATTAACCTGCCAATTATAGAGAACCGAACTTTTGCTCGCGACATGCTCACGACAGATGCTCAACAAAATGATCACACCTTCTCCGACGTAAAGCCTGATCCTCAAAAGGCAACAAAGCCTAAACTCCCCAACTGCCCCGACATCGCTCAGAGCAGCTGTGCCTTCCAGCTGGGATGAGTTGCCACCATCCCGCGCGTTGTCTGCCTTGATAAAGAAATAGCTATAGACCTCCGAGGCAATTTACCGGAGTCCGAAGTGCCAAAGAACATCTGAAGACCTGGAGACAGTTTTCGTGGCGTTCCGCGTTCGGCTTTACATTGGGATCTAGGCTTCCGGACGGTTCGGACGCAAGCCTCGAGTAACATCCACGCCATCTCAGGTTAAGGCCTGATCGAGGGCGATTCTTATTACCTTCTGCGGCCAAGTGCGCTTTCAATTCAATCACGTTTGGGCTACTGAAGTCCCCAACCGTTCGGCTGCATGTTTCAATTGTAAAGGATTTACGACCAGGATTTTGGCAAGGACGAGATAGTGAATCAAAATCTCTAGAGTTCAAATTTTGAAGATCTGGGAATCTCTGGATATCTGATTAAATTGTCCAGAATTGAAATATTGAAGATCTGGGGATCTTTGGATATCGAATCAAAATCTCTAGAATTCCATTTTTGAAGGTCTGATGATCTTTGGATCTCGATAAAAACCTCAGATTTGAAATATTGAAGGTCTGGGAATCTCTGAATATTGAATCAAAAACCTCTAGAATTCAATTTTTGAAGGTCTGCTGAGCCCCTACAATTGCACCTTCCTAAGCCCTCAGCTCAAAAAATGATTTGGGGGAGTCTCGGCAAATCCTAGACAGTGGACAACCCAAAACCGTTTACAATTTCAATTTAAACCCGAGGATGTTTCTTCACTCCTGGATCCGGTCGATACTGCACATTTGGGTCTCAAGGGATCGGGCCTAGGGTTCATTGTTCTCGGGCTTTGGGGTTCAGGGTTTGAAGGGATCAGGGTGTTGGGTTTAATTAGGGTTTAGGGTTCAGGGGTTAGGATTTAAGGGTCGCTGCATTCTCAAAGTGGGCATTCTCTTGGAACAGCCCCCAGACGAAGCTGGACGGAACCCTGGGCCTTAAGCTCTGACCTAGGCCTCCAAACCCCAAACCCTCAACCCTGTGCGCGGAACCCGAAACCCAGCACAAGATCATCCCGAAATCCGAAACCCTAAACCCTGACCCCAAACCCCGCACCCTAAACCCAAGAGCCTAAACGCTGCCCTGGCCTCACAAGGATGACACTGCCAGGATGGCCAGCAGGGTGGGTAAGAGAAGCCTGTTGCAAGAATCTTTGGTTTGGAGTTAGGGCTTGGACCCTTTGGGGCTTAGGGGTTTAGGGTGGGGGTTTGGAGGCTTTTGGAGGTTTGGGAAAGGTTTGAGGGGGGGGGGGTGCGGTTGGTTAGGGGTTCAGTTTACCGAGGCTTAGGCTTCGAGTCTTAGAAGTAGGGGCCAGGGTTCTGGGATCCGGGGCTTCAGTCTCCAGAGGCAAAGGAGGGTTAAGGGTTTAGGGTCTCGGGAGGCTGCTCACAAAGCCAATTCCCTACATACTGAACAGGTGGTCAACATTTGTGCGTACCGCACGTATGAGGCACCGTGTCAGAGTAGGAGCCGGCAGCAAACAAACCCTAAGCCCTAAGCTCTAATCTGCCCGACAGGCCATCATGCGGCCTGTTGGGGGTCAGGGGCATAACCTGGCTTGGCCCTCTTCCGAATGCAGCCACAAGTAGCTTTGCGGAAAGCCGTGATCTGGCCAACGCTGGCAGTGGACACTCTGCTAAAATGATGTACCGATGTCGGTGCCTGGGTCGTTGGTAGCTTGGCGCCGTTGCGGAGTGCCCTGAGGCTTTTTCTCCGGCACTTCTTTGGAGCCCGCTTCCCCGAAACCCTAAACCCTAAACCCTAAACCCGGCCATTCCAGGAAGCGGCTGCGTTCATTCTGACGGCAGTCGTTTCACGTAAAAACTTGGGACCTTGTGTCTGCGCTGCGCGCAATCGCACGCCTTCGATGCCGTGAAAGTCTTCGCGGTCCAGCCGCACATCAGGCTTGGTCCTAAAGCCACCTACCGGTTCACGGGGACAGTTGTGAGTAGGGATTTAGGATTTCGGGCATCTTCGCTATCGGAATGAAGGCATCTGAGTTCTGACTTGCGTAGCACGGACTACTACCCATGGGTTTAGGGTGTAGGGTGGACCCCTCAAGTAAACCCCAGACCCTAAAGTCCTCAAACCCCTCCCGGCCTCTGGCCCATGGCATCATCCGTGTGAGTGGGAGTGACCTCTTCCGTGGAAGATGACCTCATGGGCGCAGGTGCGGGGGAATCCGAAGACTTCCAGAAGCTTTGAGTCATGGAAGGTAAAAATTGTGCTTCTTGGGGCTCAGGATGTACAAGGGGCTAATCTTTGTCGGGCTTTAAGGGCTCAGGGTTGCGAGGTTTAGGGCTGAAAGGCTTCGTGGCTTTATGTGCTGTTCAGGTCAACGTAGTTCAGGGCGTGCAGGATTTCAGGGTTTAGGGCTTCGATTTTTGGCAATTCTCCAAGGTTTCGATGTGGGACTTCCTGAAACACAGGTGTCGGGCACCACCTTCCTGCAAAGAATCAGTATGTCCACGAGCCCTGAAGCCATCCTAAACCCTGAACCCTAAACCCCCAAACCCTAAGCTTGCACGGGCAACGTGCGCTGCTGGCCGCGAGGGTCGAGGCTTCGGGGCTTCGGGGGCTGGAGCTGAGGCTTGAAGGGCTTTCCGGGGCCGACCATAGGGGCCTTAATCATTAGAACAGGGTTTTTGGGGGGTTATAAAAATAATCTATTCAGGAACCCGAAGGGAGTACTCTTAGCAATTCGGCGTCCTCTATATGGCCTATACCCCCCACATGCCACTTCACCGGGGCCTGACTTGTTTTTGGTGGTGGTGGGGGGAGGACCCCTAAACTGAAAAACGCCCTAAACCCTAAACCCTAAACCCTCAACGCTAAACCCTAAACCTTAAGTGCTGAAGCCTGATAAACCTTAAGTGCTGAAGCCTGAACGCTAGGCTTCCCCCTATGGCCCAAGAACAGCAGGAGATGCGAAGGGATTGTGGGTCTCAAAATCGGATCCCCCAAAAAAAGTAACATACTTTAGAGAACCTCCCAAGCTTAGGGCTTTGGGACAAATGGGCTCCGAGAGCCCGTTCGTTGCAGCTGCACCGCACTTCGCCCTAAACCCTAAACCCCAAACCCTAAACCCTAAACCCTAAACCCTACCCCCTAAACCCTAAACCCCAAAGCTTGCGCTCTCGACTTCGTGCGTTTGGAGCACCCAGAGTCGGCACAGGTGACCCTTCGAAGAAGGGCTTTTAAGGTTTACAGGGGTTCTTTTATTGGGGGCTTAGTGTACGCCCTAGAACCAGGGTTCAGGGTTCAGGGTTCAGGGTTTAGGGTTTAGGGTTTAGGGTTTAGGGTTCACAAATCAAGTTAGTTCCCAATTTGCCTCCTGCCTGCGACTCGGGGGTTCATAGGGCTGGGAGTGTTCGGGGTGTAACGGGACCACGAGAAAATCGCGGTTTAAGGTCTAGGGTTCCACAACCCCAAGAAACCCTAAGAACCGTGCAAAGCAATGCCAGCAGAAGGTTTAGGGTTCGACTTTAGTAAACGGCACGAAACAGCTCACAACACGCCACGCGCATTGCAAGTGTCGCTGTGGATCACCAGAAGGGAAGGTCGTGAGGGGTCACATGGAACCACACAAAAGCCTTGTTGTTCGCGATGTAAGCCGCGAGGCCGAGCATCTGGAACGGCGGACGAGGCCTGTGCGAGATCGCGGATATCGAGCCGAATGTGCGCACGCACCTGAATGAGGGTGGGACAGGGTTTAGGGTTTATGCTTTATTCTGGGTTTGCCCTAAACCCCCCAAACCCTCAGGGATTCCCGGCGAGCTCGTGGATTCGTCCGCGCCCGTCGTCGTGGATGTTGTGGATGAGCTTTCCTAGGCGAGATTTGGGTTTAGACCTTTGCCTTTTTTTTTTGGGGGGGGGTTCATCGGATTCGTGGTATTGCAGTTTGGTTCATCGGATTCTTGGTCTTGCAGTTTACAAGAGGTTAGGGATCAAGGTTCTAGGATTGAGGGTAGAAGGTTTGTGATTGGTGACTTTGAGGGCTTTAGGAAATCTGCTTTCGGGCCATATCAATTACTCCCGGAGCCCTCAAACCCCCGCACCTCGAGCTCGAAACTTCAACCCCTTAAAAACAAACACAGAGAAACCTATCTATATATATATATATATATACTCTCAATTCCTCAACCTGCCGCAGTTGGTCCAAGCTTCTGAGGTGGACGTGGAGCTTGTCGTTGCCGCGGAGCTTGTCGTCACCGCAGCGCTTGTCGTCACCGTCGTCACAGGAACCTGTTTCATTGTCTTTGGGGGGGGCGGGGGGGTCTGAGAGTTTTGGGGGTTTAGGGCTTTGGGGGGGGGCGGGGGGGGCACCCGAACGCTTAACCCCCAGTAAGTCAGAGACCCCAAAGCATCAAGGGACGAGGAGGGGGTCTATCCCGGCTCAAGATTTCAAGGTTCAGGGTAACCCTGAAACCCTAAAAAATTTTCTGATGGGGGTTTGGATGGGACCCAGGGCTTGGGTCCTGGAAATTTGGGGTTTAGGGTTTGTGGGTTTAGGGTTTAGGGTTTAGGGTTTAGGGTTTAGGGTTTAGGGTTTAGGGTTTAGGGTTTAGGGTTTAGGGTTTAGGGTTTAGGGTTTAGGGTTTAGGGTTTAGGGTTTAGGGTTTAGGGTTTAGTGTTAGGGTTTAGGGTTTAGGGTTTAGGGTTTAGGGTTTAGGGTTTAGGGTTTAGGGTTTAGGGTTTAGGGTTTAGGGTTTAGGGTTTAGGGTTTAGGGTTTAGGGTTTAGGGTTTAGGGTTTAGGCTCAAGGTGTTTGGGGCTGAGGGTGGGAGTTTGGGGGGCGAAGGGTTCGGGGCTCGTCCTCGAGAGGTTGTTCGAAAGGAAGGCTGGTGCTCCACTTGAATGCCTCGTGGGACTCTTCGATCCTGTCGACTGGATGCCAGTGGAGGCACATAGACCTAAAGATGCGACGGAGGGCGACGGAGCTGTCGTTGCGAGTGCGCTGCAGCTCCTGTGTGAGCTGCGAATAGACCGCTGCCTCATCCGACGTCTCCAGATCGACCTCCCACAAGGCGTCCCAGGCCTCATCATCGCTCAGGCTCGTTTCGCCCTTGTCGATCGAGTCCCAGTAAGCGGGGCTTTAGGGTTTTCATTTTGATATAGACCCTGGAGCCCTTGGCAGGAACTTACCGTCTGACTACAGTGGACGGAAGGGGGCTAACCTGTCAGGCCTTCCTCCCTGAAAGCTGTTATGCCAGAAACCTCACTCAATGAGGCGATTATGACGCTTTCAAGTTGCCGTAAGTATTTGTGTAGGTCTGTATCTTGTTTTCTCAAGTCTGTGATGGGGTAAACCACCTGGTCAGACCCATGTCCTGAAACCACAGCAGCCCCAGAACCCTAAACCCGAAACCGCAGCACATCTCACAAACCTCTCACTTCAGGTGCAGGTCTCCTAAACCAATCAGAACGGCCACGTGCCCCCAAAAACCAAAGCTTAAACCCGAAGTGCTTTAGGGCTGAGGCCCCCGAGAAAAACGAGTGGTTCCCTGGATTGCAAGGACCCTGAACCCTAAACCCTGAACCCCAAACCCTGAACCCTAAAGGAATCCGAGTAGGGGGGGGGGTCCTTTTTGCGGGATTCAGTGGTGGTGTCCTGGTCCACAGAGTCTAACCCCCGAAGTGCTGCAAAAGTCCGGAAACCTAAAGCTCCCCAAAACCTCCCTACACCCTTAGCCCCACTTGTTAGGAATCCCAAGCCCGACAGGCGACTCCATCAAGCTGGAACATGGCTTAAGGACGATTGGGGCTGGGACTCCCGTTAGTAACCAACTTTGGGGTAGGAGGGTAATGATGTTCAAACTTTTGAGAGCTTACCGTGCTAGGGTAGGCTCGGGCGCCTATGACTATTTTGTGGCCAAGGATTAAGATTATATACGGATTAGGGGGTACATAAAAACCCAAAAAATCTTTCAAATCAAGCCCTGTACAAATTTTAAAATCCCCCCTCCGCCGAAATCGTCTGTTTAAGGGTTCCTCTCGCAGGCGAGCCTGAACCTTCTCCTCCACCACGGCGACCGTCTTTCCAACGACCTCTCCGAGATATTCAGAGATGTGTTAGGGTTTACGGGTTTACAGACTTAAACGGTTTCCGTAACCCGGTCTCGGGCCTTAGGATTCAAAGCTTGACGGAGTTTCGGGGTTCAGGGATGATGACTCTGGGACTTAAGATTTAGGGCGTGGGGTTCAGAGTTCAGGGTCCGGGGTTTGCCCAAACTCAGGGGTAGAACTATTGGGTCTTAAACCCGAAGCCATGAACTAAACATGAGCCAAACAACCTGATCCCCAAAAGTTGGACGAACCTTGGTCTCAAACACCCGATATGTCTTGCCCCGGAGTTGGCCAAGGGCTTACTGGTGAGCCCCGTGGGGCCTAGTGGCTCAAAGTGCCAAGTCACCCAATCACTATGGACCCGGCTCGAGGACAAGGAAGCCGTGTTCGGGTTGAGCGCTTCAGGGTTCGTCAAAGGTCGAAAGTACGTTCCCAAATTTGAGCGGCCATGCCATGGGAAAGAACACAATGCAGTTGAGGGCTAAATGGGCCAGCATAGGCGCCCCCCCCCCCCCTCCCCCCCCATGGTATCCCCCCCCCCTGTGGTTTCATGGTGGGTTTTGGGTCCCCCCCCCCGTGGTTCATGGTCTGTGGTTCATGGGTTAGGGTTTAGGGGTTTAGGGTTAAGCATTAGGGTTCAGGATTTTCACTCTGGTCCGTTGGTTCACTGTGGGTTTAGAGTTTGATTTGGGTTCAAGGTTCGGGGTAATGATAGGGTTACGGTTTCCCCTCTCCCCCCTGTGGTTCGTGCTGGGTTTACGGTTGAGGGTTCAGAGTTAAAGCAGCAAAGATTTCGGATTTACCCTTCTTCCTCCCGTCGCTCATTGGTGGGTTTAAGTTTTAGGGCTAGGGTTCAGGGTTTGGGGTTTAGGCTGAGGCTTCTCTGTCCCCCCCCCGGGGTCCGTGGTGTTTTTAGGGTTAACAGGCAGTTGCCGGGGGGGGGGGGGGATACCATTGGGGGGGGGGGGGGTCGATTACGCGGAACGTGGGCGCATAAAAGGGTCTCAGGGTTCTGGGTTTATGGGGCTTAGGGGGGCCAGGCCCGGCTACTAGATACAGGGTTTAAGCCGAGAGGTCCATCCCCCAAGCCCTACATCTGAGACCTCCTCAACACGGAGCCTGGGGAGTCCAAGACCTTTGAAGGAATGTCATACACTCCAAAGAGATCCTTACAAAATTTGGGTCCAGCGCCGTTCTCTCCCTCAAACCCCAAAAGCCCTGCCTCCACGGTGCCCTGGTATCCCACGTCCTGCGCGTGCAGCTAAGGGTTTCGAGTTTGGGGTTTCGGGTTTAGGGCTTAGGGCTTAGGGTTTAGGGTTTAGGGTTTAGGGTTTAGGGTTTAGGATTTAGGGTTTAGGGTTTAGGTTGGCAAAGCGAAAGAAGACCGAAATCCTAAACCCTGAACCCGTTTCAGGGCCACCCAAGCGCGCGCCCTACACAACTAACCACAACCCCCCCCCCAACAAAAAAAATAAAATAAAATAAATAAGGCAGAAGCCCTCCCACCCACCTTCCAGGCCACGAATCTCAAACCCGAAAACCCGAAAACCCTGAACCACAACCCCTAACCCCCAAAACCCCAAACTCCCCAGCCCTAAACCCTAAATCCTAAATCCCAAGCCCTAAATCCTAAATCCTAAACCCCTAAATCTCAACCCCAAACCCCCCAAAACCCCCAAATGCCCCGTCCGTCAGCACTGCGCCGATCTCCTGCGAGGCTTCAAGCCGCATGGCTTGCAGCCAGGGGGGGGGTTTTACGGGAGGGTCAAACCCTAAACCGGAAACCCTAAACCCTAAACCCTAAACCCTGAACCGCGCCCTTCAAAGGTTGCGAGGGGGGGTTTTGGAGCCCTCGCAGGGCTTCGGGCTGTGTCTTTGCTGGCTTAGGCTTCCGAAGTTCGCGGGCTTAGAGATTCTTGGTAGCCCAGAGACCATATTACAATAAGGGCATAAAAAACACTGTCGAAAACCTCCTGCCGAAACCGACTCCGCCTTTTAAACCCTATTCCGAATTAGGGGGGCCTCAAAACCTTCAAGCCAATCTAAACCCTATCCCAAAAAGATGGCATATGGACAAAAACATACCCCCTAATACTAAAAACACATGCCGAGTTTCTATTGGGAGGGGGTGGGTTTAATAACAGGGGGAAGGGCATATATATATATATATATATATACATATGTATATATATATATATAAAAATAAATATACATGTATATGTATATGAATATATATATATATATATATATATATATAGATATAGATATAGATATAGATATATGTATATACACGCAATAAACACGTACACATCTGCGACCTGGGGTGTGTGTGGCTTTGTGGCTTTATGGTTGTGCTTCATGGCTTCGTGGCTCTAGGGTTTAGGGTTTAGGGTTTAAGGTTTAGGGCTTATGGTTCTACTCACTCGGAAGCGTCGGGAATCCGAATCGTCAGGTTGAGGGTTTAGGGTTCCTTTCAACATCACAGGAGGGAATAGAAAATACTCACGGGCAGTTGTGACATGGAGGGCCATCGCCCTTAGCAAAAGCACAATAGGGACGCATGGTTTTAGTTGGAGCTTGGGTTTGAATTGTCCCTTTAGGGCCATGCTAACCCCTAAACCCCAAACCTGAAACCCTAAATCGGCCATCGGCTTATAGCCACCCTAAACCCTAAACCCTAAACCCTAAACCCTAAACCCTAAACCCTAAACTCTAAACCGGCCATCGGCAAATGCAACGCCGAACGACACGCAACACGATCGGCGATGCCCGCCACTGAAGCACAGCCGCAGCTTGGACATTGATGTACTTGAAGTCCGAGAGGCTCATAGATGACTAAAACCGTAAAACCGTAAAACCGTAAAACCGTAAAACCGTAAAACCGAAAAACCGTACAACCGTACAACCCTAAAACCCTAAAACCCTAAGACCCTAAAACCCTAAAACCCTAAAACCCTAAAACCCTAAAACCCTAAAACCCTAAAACCCTAAAACCCTAAAACCCTAAACCCTAAAACCCTAAAACCCTAAAACCCTAAAACCCTAAAACCCTAAAACCCTAAAACCCTAAACCCTAAAACCCTAAAACCCTAAAACCCTAAAACCCTAAAACCCTAAAACCCTAAAACCCTAAAACCCTAAAACCCTAAAACCCTAAAACCCTAAAACCCTAAAACCCTAAAACCCTAAAACCCTAAAACCCTAAAACCCTAAAACCCTAAACCCTAAGCCGAGTCTGGCACACAAGCTCTTTCCCACTCGTCCTCAACTTACAGCGAACAAAGCATTCCCGACCACTCCGGAACGGCTGGCATCATGAGGAAGGATAACGTTGGTAAGCATTGCAAGCGCCTAGATAACCTCTATAACCCCAAGACTCTAACCCTAAACCCGAAACCCTAAACCCCAAAACTCTAACCCTAAACCCTAAACCCAAGGTTTTGGGATCTTTCCTTACGATCGCACTCGTCCTGCGTTGCGTCAGCTGGAGTGGTTGCCTCCACTTCCACACGCTTCCTGAGACGCCAGGCCACCCGGAAGACCGCTACAAAGGGGCTTTGCATGCAGGGTGTAGGGCTTAGTACACACTAATGGCTCTTTGAGGAACTTGGATATGCCATAAGAAGGGTAGGGCCGCCGGAAAATGGGGTGGTAAGCAGGGTGGCTGTTGTATTGGCATCTTCGACCCTAAACCCTGAATTGCTCAACCCCAAGCCCGAACCCTACGACCTGAACCCTACCAGGTCACCTCGTTCCTCCTGCTTCAAGTCTCTAGCTGTGACAAAGGCAACCTAGCCATCGGACGCGATCTTCTCATGGTACTCTGTGAGAAGCTGGACCCCTCCCAGCACGCAGCTTCCGAATGGTTTGTAGCTCCTTGCGACTTTGCCCTGGGGTACAAGATTGTCTTAAAACCCAAGCTACCAAACCCTGAATCCCAACAACCCTAAACCGACTCCTAGCCTACGCGCACCACTGAAAACTCAAACAACGCCCCAGAGTTCGCCCTGTTAAGGCCCCCATTTTGGGGTTGAAAGGTTTAAGGGTTTTTGGGCCTGCCTCTGCGCAATTTGAGGCTCAGAAAGCCAAGAGAGGTACCGTGAGCTTTCTTCGCTTCCGAGGAGATATCGATGGTGCTAAACTCTTCCCTCAGCTCTCAACTGCAAACCCTAAGCGCCAAATCCCGGACTCCAAACCCCATCTAGAGCAACCGGACCTACTTGCTGGCCACGCCTAGTCCCTAAAAATTTCGAGAAACCCATCAAAAAATGTGCCTTAAACCTTGTTCGAGGCACAGACTTGCTCGAGGCCCTGATCGGGAACTCCAAACCCCAAAATCCCCAAAATCCCCAAAAGCCCAAAAACTCCTAAGACCCCTAAAGCCCCTAAACACCCTAAAGCCCCCCTAAAACGCCCCAAAGCCCCCCAAAACCCGGCTGTGCCGGACCCTAACACCAAAAAAAATACGCTCCGGGCGGCGCTTCGGCTGCCGTCGCGTCCGTGAAGGACACGGAGAAGACCCTTGCAGGTATTGGGGCTTGGAGGGTTTAGGGTTTGGGATTTAGGGTTTAGGATTTAGGGTTTAGGCGTCCCTTTACCCTAAACCCGAAACCCAAGGGGAGTTTCAGAAACTTCAAACGGCCCGACTTCAGGGACAAAAGAAATTGGGCCTTAGAGCCGGCTCGGGAGGGCTCGTGCCTTCGGGGTTTCGCAAGGACGAGGCGCAAGAGCCAAAACCCCAAGAGACGACTTCGACCAGCTCCTGAAAATTTCACGAGTTCACGACAAAAAAGTTGAATCAAGCCCTACACCCCTAAACCCTAAACATTAAACCCTAAGCCCGAAACCCAAAACGCGAGACCCTTGTCTGCTTCGACGGGTTGGCTCCGTTGCAGGAGTCTCTCGGAGGGCCAAAAGGGCGCTGCGTCTTCCACATTCCTACCATGCGTCGGGTTTCGGGCTTAAATCGAGTTGAAAGGTCCCTAAAGCCGTAAAGCCCTCAACTCCTGAATTCTCAAGCCCTAAACCCTAAACCCTAAACCCTAAACCCTAAACCCTAAACCCTAAACCCTAAGCCCTAAGCCCTAAGCCCTAAACCCTGCATGGAAACCCTGCGAAGCCCCTTTCCGAGACCCCGGCGCGGTCAGAGAGGTGGCGAGCCTCAGCTTCTCTTCGGTCCCCACTAGAAGCTGCGGGTTTAGGGTTTAGGGTTTAGGGTTTAGGGTTTCGGGTTTAGGGTTTAGGGTTTAGGGTTTAGGGTTTAGGGTTTAGGGTTTAGGGTTTAGGGTTTAGGGTGTATCAGGGGAGGGCGCGCGCTCGGGTGTGAAACACCCCGGGCCGCGCGCTCGCGTTGCCCGTCAAGCCACCCCGGCCACCCAAACTATACTCTATTAGGGTTTAGGGTTTATGGAATTTATCTTCTTGTGCCCTATGCTGCTTTGATGTTTTTAAAGTTGCGCTGTTAGGGTTTATGCTGGGGTTGGGGGTAGCCTCGGCCCTTTTCGGGCCTGCGGCGTGTCAGGGCCCGTAGAGGCCCTCATTTATTTGAAGGTCAGGGAAACCCTTTGTGCCTGCTCCTGGATTCCCCTTCTTTAAGGTCCTCAGGCCTTCTGGTGGCTCTGGGGGCCTTTTGGGGGCTTCCTGGGGGCTTTCCTGGCCCTTCCGGGGTAAAATGAAGGGGTGCCCAAAAACCATCGATTTCAGTACCAAAAAATCGCAGTTTTCATTGCGGGTACGGGCATCCTGGATTCCCCTTCTTTTATTTTAGGGGCCTTTTGAAGCCATTTGCGGCCTTTTAGTGGCTCTTGGGGTCTCTCGCCCTGTTCGGACCTTCGGCGTGTCAGGGGCCGTAGAGGCTTTATTCATTTGAAGGTCAGGGAACCAAACCAATCGCTAGGGTCTGCCCTTGGCCCGGGGCCCGGGAAGCCCTTGTGTGGGGTCGCGGTTGGTGGTCTCGGGTTCTTGGCGAGGGGGGTCCTTGGGCCCTTGGTCCGGGGCTTGTTGGCTCGGGAGGTTCTTGGCGCGGTTGGTTTTTTCATTGGGGGTCCTTAGCCGGCAAGGGCCCCTTGGCTGGGGGAAGGGGCCGGGGCCCTTGGCGGGGGGGGCCGAGCCGGGCCCTTGGCCTTGGGGGGCGCTTGGCTCGAAAATCACAAAATTGAGCAACCAGCCTGCCTGGACCCCTGACCCAGCCTCCTGGTCCAGGAATCCAGCCACCAGGGGCCAGGGGGCCGCCGGGGGGGGGGGGGGGGCCCGGCAAACCCTGAACCCCTGAACCGACCGGGGAAGGGTTTAGGGTTTAGTAGCTTGGGGTTTTGGGGCCGAGGGTTCAGGGTGGCTTTAGGGTTTAAGGGTTGAAAGCGTTTGGGTTTCAAGGCTTGCCTGTTCGGAAGTGGAAGCTCAGAAAGCCGAGAGGTGGCGTGACTGAGCTTTCTTCGAGGCTTCCCGGGATGTCGAAGGGGCGAAGCTTTTCCCTCAGCCCTCAACCGAGAACCGGAAGCCCCAAATGAAAAAACCCTAGACCCTAGACGCCATCTAGAGCAACCGGTCCATAATTTCCGGGCATGTCTTATACGCAGAGAAAGCTATCCAAATGGCTCGTTTAGTGTTCAGGGTTTAGGGTTTTACTTGAAGCCCTGAACTCCAAAATCGAAACGCTCAATCGTATCTTTGCCTTTAAACAACAACCATGTTTGATCAACCAACTGAGTGTTAAACCCTTACAGCCATTGCACTATGAATGCAAGTCCGTTCCGTCAACCCGAGTTCCGGAATACCCAACGGAATTTCAAACCTGTGCACCCATTTCCAAAAAGACCGTGGGGCCCATAGTGACTCAGCTACTTCCCTAAACGCTTAGCCCTGCGGGATTAGGTTCGTGTTTAGGACTTAGGGTTTAAGGTTTAAGGTTAGGGTTAGGGTTTAGATTCCCAAACCAAACCCAGAAGCCGGCGCGGGCCACCAAGGCGTCGCGACGTCTCGAAGGTCACAGTCACGGCATCCTCGGTGTGGGGCGATGCCTAGCGCCCTGTAGGCCCTCCGTAGACCCTCTCGGTTTAGGGTTGAGGGTTCAGGGTCTGTAAACCACGTACAAGCCCCTGTAAACCCTGTAGACCCTAAAGCCCAAGTGTGAGGGTTGAGGTTTACGGCAGAACGGTTCAGGGTTGCCGGCCTCATGGGTAGATTTGCATTGTGGGTGTGAAAAGTTGGGCTGTAGGTCCTTCAGGGTTTAGGGTTTAGGGATTAAGGTTCTTGGTCGCTGTATTACAGCTGGTATAGTGTGTGGGGGGCTTTGCTGTAAATCAACTACAGAAAAGACGAGACGCGACGTAAGGAAAGGACAAAACAAACGCATGTCCCAACACTCCTCATGAAGCTCTAAACGCCTAACCCGGAACTCCGAAAACCTGACCTAGCTCCGGACACCAAAACCTAAACTCATAAACCCGGCATTAGCCTCAGCGTTTCAACCGGATTCGAAACCCCCAGCCTCAGTCAAGCCCATGAAGGCCATGAACCCCAGGAACCCGATATAGAAGCCATACGAATGCATAAGCCCCAAACCCTCAACGCCAGCTCTTCAGGCAAAGCGTCCGCAGAGACGTTGAGCAAGTTCGCCATGCCACGCCTGACTCTGACTAGGAGCTCGGAGAGCATATGCAGCGGAGACCCCGAGAAACGTGGCAGGGTAAGGGTTTAGGGCTTGTGGTTTAGGATTTTCTGCTTAAGGTGTTAGGTGGCTGTATATAGAAAGGGCTGAGAGCTTGGGGTTGAGGGTTGTGATGGGGCTCTACATAGACGCGGATAGGGTTTTGAGGTTTGTAGGGTGCTGATCACACCAACACCCACATTGATGGAGCTCAACATATACTGAGCCCGTCATGATGTGAATTCCTCGGTCCTTGCGGGTTCACTACGCCATGTGGGTCAGAAGTAAGATTCGGAGCAAAGTAGCTTTAGCCTACAACCCTACCAATGGAAGGTGTGCATATGTATATGCATATGTATATGTATATGTATAGATAGATAGATAGATAGATAGATAGATAAATAGATAGATATATATGTATATCGACGCAAGCCTTGTACACTGCACCTGCGTATGTATGTCCATGAGCCTTCAAGTCCTGTTCTCTAAACCCTCAACCCTGAACCCCCACACCTCTCAGCCAAAGCCCCTGAAGCCCCTCAAGCCCCAAAAACTCCCGAGGGGTTCCCTATCTCTTCGGAACCACAGCCAAGCGCTGGGTCGAGCACCGCATGGCGTTGACCAAGGAGGTCTGGGCAAGGCGAGTTGGGAAGGGCAAAGGGTGCTTGAGCTTCCAGGGTTTAGGTTTTGGGGTGCAGAGGGTGTATAGGGTTTGGGCTTACTAGCTTTGGGTTTTAGGAGCTTAGCGGTAACGGGCTTAAGAGTCCCCCAGCCCTAAGGTTGTGCTCAGGGCTGAGGGCTTCAACGGCTTCTAGATGTAGGGCAGAGGGTCTCGGGGCTGGGTTCTATTTGAAGCCCTACAGGGTGTTTATGAACTAAAATACACTACTTGATGAAGGGTACTGGGCTCCCTGCACAACCTGACCCTAAACCTTATTCACTATACACCCTAAATCTTGAACCCTCTTCTGCTCACCAGCAAAACAAGCCCCAACCCCTTTCCCCGCAATGCTGTCTCGACGCATGCTAGTAGCTGCCCTAACTCCTAAACCCAAATACACTTCAACCCTAAACCAGGGATTGGGTTTTGTCAGGGGGTTCCACTTACAAGCATTGAGGTTTAGGGATGTTGGGAAGCTTCTGGTTTAGATGCGTATCGCTTGGTGGATTTGGGTCTCCGCTATTCTCCGCCGCTGGTCGCGCACACGGGTTTAGGGTTTAGGGTTTAGGGTTTAGGGTTTAGGGTTTAGGGTTTAGGGTTTAGGGTTTAGGGTTTCTGGTTTAGGGCTTATAGGGCTGAGAGTCTTAGAGTCGGGGAGGGTTTCTCCTTGGCCATCGGGGTTCGGTTTTGGTTCTTAGGGTCTGCGGAGTTCTTTTGGCATCTCTAAACACAAAAAGGGTGCCCCCCCCATGCTAGCCCTTCTTGAAGCCTCACTTGGTTCTGGCGCTAGGTCCTCCGGCTGCTCAAAGATAGCGACAATGCGCCTTGGAGTTTCTTGCATCTCCTGAAGCTCGCAGGTTTAGGGGTTTAGGGACCGCCGACACCCAAAATACCCCGAGAGCTAAGAGGTCTCCGAACCATTCTCTTGGGCCCCCGGGCATTCTGGGTGATGACGTCCGGATTCTCCACCGTCATCCTCAGACAAGCAGCTGCGCTCCAGGGACCCACGGTTTGAAGCTTTAGGGCTTCGGGGGCTTAGGATTCAGAGGTTTAGGGTTTAGGGCTGAGGCTAGCCTGCTCTGCCTGATTACAGCTACAGCTTGCGTCAGATCATTGAATTCTTGTACCCCCCCCCCTCCCTTGAAGCCCTAAGACCTTTGCAATGGGGGGGAGCATCCGCGAGACTGAGGACACTCTGGGTTCTTAAGCTCAGAACCCTCCGAACCCTCCGAGCCCCAAACCCTGCAGTTCTAGGAATATGGTCCGTGCTCAGTAAAGTGGCCCGGCCCAAAAGCATCAATGTTTGAAACAGCTTTCTTTGGAACCTTACCGATTGCCCGGAACCCCAAGCCCTGGGCCTTTTTCCCCTCTGGGATCCTGAGACCCGAGACCGACTCCCGAAAACTCAACTTCTTCCCCAGCATTCCAATGCCCGGGTACTGTACCCTAAACCCTAAACCCTAAACCCCAAACCCTAAACCCTAAACCCTAAACCAGCGGTCAACCCAGGCGCTGCAAGTTCACCTGGACCACGTGGTAAGTCACTTCCTGGGCTTGGAGAGCGGCTGAGTCAGTTTAGGGTTTAGGGTTTGGGGTTTAGGGTTTAGGGTTTAGGGTTTAGGGTTTAGGGTTTAGGGTTTAGGGTTTAGGGTTAGTTGTATATAAAGGTTCATGGGTTTGGGATTCAGAGGTTTAGAGTTCAGGGGAATAGGGCTCAGGGGCTTAAAGGGTTTAGGACTTGTAGAGCGCAGGGTACTTTCAGGTTGTACTTGAAGGAAGGCTCCAAACCCAAACCCAAACCAAAAACCTTCATCCCACCAGTCAACAACCCTACTTGAAGATTCGCGGGGGCAGTTGTAAGGAAGGGTTTCGGGTTTAGGCGGTTTAGGGTTAGGACGGCACTTCTCAACTTTCAAGTGTTAAGGGCCTGGGGTCTCGGAGTAAGGTGCAGGGAGCCGAATGAGTTTGGCTCCAAGTTTTAAGCTCTGAAGGGCGAGAGATAGAGAGAGAGTGTTCGAGTTCAGCCTCAACCTGGGATCTGAACTTCTTAAGATTCCAAAGTACGGATACCTGGCCGTATGTCATGCGCCTTCTGTTTGGTCTTAGGGCTTAGGGTTCAGAGAATTTTGGTCCCCCTAGCATCCTTCGCAGCAACTCTTGTCGTGTAGATATGCGTGGCATCAATACTGACGAGGCCATCATAGGATGTGGAGATCTCGCCCTCCCAACCCCAATACCATCTGTTGAACCCCAAACCTCTACAGCTTAAAACGAATACCCGAAACCCTAAACCGCGGTAAGGGCCGGACGACAGTCTCCTGTCCGGGAAGGTTTCGGGGTTTCGGTTTGCAGCCGGGGGGCCGGGGGGGGGGTGGGAGGCGCGGGCTGCTGGGTTGAGAGCTTTCAGGCCCCAAACCCTCAAACCCCCAAACCTAAATCCTCAAAGCCGTGAAAACCCTAAACAAACACTCAGCCTGTAAACCCTCAAGTCTGCAAACTCAAAGCGCAAAACGGCACCTCAACCCCTCTCCCTAAGCCCGCAAGCCCTCAGCCCTGAATTCGTTACCCCCGGCCCTGGCCTGTGTGGTTGTTGTGGCCTGACAGATGCTAGTGATTTCGGTTGGTAGGGTGTAGGGTTTAGGCAAGCACTTGCAGCAGACTGTCCCACGAACACCGTGTGAAAGGCCACGCGAATTCGCGACTAAACCCTCAAGTTGGAGGCAATTTTGCCAACCTTCAACCCTAGACGTCCTAAGCCCTGGGAACCTGACCCCTGCCACCAGGGCCACTCGAAAAGATTGGGTTGTGGCAGTTGCAGCTGCACCAGAATCGTTCCGAGGGCTTTGGGTTTGGGGTTCAGGCTGAAACCTCTTAAGGGTTTAGGGATTTAGTGTTTAGGGTTTAGGGTTTAGGGGTTCAGGGTTTAGGGTTTAGGGTTTAGGGTTTAGGGGTTTAGGGGTTTAGGGTTTAGGGGTTTAGGGTTTAGGGGTTTAGGGTTTAGGGTTAAGCTGCCTTCAGCTCCCAACAGCGGGGGCACGGGGCTCGTGAGGGCTTCTTCAGGCCCCATTCAGGCTCAACGAACTCAAGGGTTGCACCCTAAACCCTAAACCCTAAACCCTAAACCCGAAACCCGAAACCCGAAACCCGAAACCCTAACCCCTAAACCCTAAACCCTAAACCCTAAACCCTAAACCCTAAACCCTAAACCCGAAACCCTAAACCCTAAACCCTAAACCCTAAACCCTAAACCCTTGCCCAGCCTGCTGGCAGGGGATCTCGACATCGGACATGTTTAAGACGGTCCGGCAGAGCGCAATGGTCGGCTCTGAGCCTTCGCGCTTCTTCGGTGAAGCTCGGTGCGGGCTCAGGATGGGCAGAGATGGGTTTAGGGTTTAGGGTTTAGGGTTTAGGGTTTAGGGTTGAGGGTTGAGGGTTTAGGGTTTAGGGCTTCCCTAAACCGGAGGCTGCACTCAGAACCCGGCAACTATCCCTTGAAGCCCTGCCTTCTGCCCTGTGGCAGCACTGCGTTTGATTCCAGCAGCCCATCAGATCTGCCGAGGGAGCGGGGCAAAGCTTCGAACTCCAGTAACCAGCTTAGCAATCCTACACCCTCAAATCCTCCGATCCTCATTCAGTCGAGTTCAATTCAGTCGAGTTCAGCTTAGGGGCCAGATCATGTCAGATCTACCTAAAGGTGACGGCCGGATCGTTCTTGTCATGCATTCGCATGGTCAGCTTTTCACGGGGCACGTCTAGGTGTTGCTTCGCTACCGGTAGGGTTTAAGCTTGGCAGGCGGCCTTCCCAGAAAGTCCGACATGTATCCTGATCACGACCACCCGCCTTTTTGCCGTTTCTTGCCCACCAAGAGCGCACCAAGCAGTCGCAAAGCTCACCCCACTCAGGCCATCTTGCACCCTAACTTTACTACAGCCCATGACATTGCTTACTAGCATGGTAGTTTCAAAAAGCGAGACTGTAGGGAAGCCTTGGTTGCCTCCGTGGGAGAACAGCTTAGAACAGTCCGAACCCCCCGCAAAAGCAAACAAGAACATGCCGATTCTCTTGAACGTTGCGGCACTTATTGCTACCCTTCAAATCCCCCGATCTCTAAGCCCCCAACCCTCAGCCTGGTTTTGATTATTCCTTTCTTATGAAACCTTTTTTAATTCATGTGAGGTCGGGTGGGAAGGTTTTAAAGAGGATCAAAATCGGCTTCCACTGTTCGGTTGAACGGGGGGGGGGGGGGACTTTCTAAAGCAGGTGCAAGATTACAACGCCAAGCACCTCTGGGTGCACCCAATGGCAGGAATGAACAGGGCAAAAATTCGCTGATTTGCAATAGGTTTAGGGTCGGACGGCCAGGCTTGCTGGGATCTTCTCCGCAGCCGTGGATGGGGCAAAACACGTCGACCCACCGCACCGATATAGCCACCTAAACCGCAGCTCTGCTGAACGTAGACAACTTTGCATGCATCGAAAAGCTTCGCTCACATTCGGCTCTATAAGGTAACTAGGCAAAGCGTTCTGGTGCAAGCAGTGCCGTTTACATTCAGCAGAGCCACCAGGGTGATGGCGCACAGCAGAAGACATGCTTCGTGGGGCAGGGATCTTCATGCCCAGGAAGTCGCGAATGTATCAGATCCTGTTCATTGCCCTCGGGCCAGGGAAGGTTGCAAGGGAAGCCCCTGCTACCAAACGAGGAAGCGCCAGCCTGTGAAGCATCGCTGCAACCTCTAACCCCGATTCAGGGCTCTTTCTGACCCCCAGCGGACGTCGCTGCCTGAAAACGAGCATCGCATTGGCTGACACCGCTCCATAAATGATATTGGCCTCAACTATCTTCCCGCCCTGCTGATGTGTGCTGCGTGGTGTCCCTCTCCTTTTGGACAAACCGCAGCGTAAACAACTGCCCGCAGCCAAATGAACACGGTCCTCTTGGGGCCGTGGCTGTCACCTCTTGTTGTCTGTGCAAAGTTCCAAGCCTTGGAAGACCATAGACATGGCTGACGACCTGGCTACGCCATTGCTGCTGGACCTGAGCCGAACTGGCTTGGAGACGGCCTTGCAACAGTCGTTCCGGTCATGGCACGCAAGAAGTTTATAAGCTCTTCTGCACGACGCCCCCTGCCTAGAGCCTTCGTGCACATCACGACCGTCCAGAAGTCCTGATGAGAAGCCGCGGCCGGCTTTGAACTCGCAATGGAGAGTTGGTGCAGGGGCTCCTCTCCCACGTCCGTGACGTCTCGCAGCTCCACTGGAACGCAGGCGTCCGCTTCGGCCTGTGAGGAGTTGGAGCGCCAAAGCTCAGCCTACGAGTGACTACCTTAAACCCTAAACCCTAAACCTTTAAACCTTTAAACCTTTAAACCCTAAACCCTAAACCCTTTCCAGGAAACTTGCCCGGGCCCACCTCGTCGCACCGGCCGCCCTGGCTTGACAACCCCGAGGGCGGGAGCTCACACCATCTTGGACTCCGACGCTAACATAAGGGGGCCTGAAGAAGTAGAATAGGGCTTTGGGGGGGTTCTTATGGGATAATTACATAGGGTTTTGGGGGGCTCTTATGGGATAATTACATAGGGTTTTGGGGGGTTCTTATGGGATAATTACATAGGGTTTTGGGGGGTTCTTTTATGGGATACTTACAAGAAGGGACCAGAAGGGAAATCTTCCAACCCCCCCCCCTACATATTACGTGGCTTCTGGTGGGATGGAACTGGGCCATGCTCCCCGGCAGAGGAAGGTTCTGGGAGTCCCTGGGCGCTTGGAATAGAAACCGGGGTTTCGGTTGCGGGCTCCAGAGGGCTTGAGGGCTTAAACGGTTTTCTGGAGGGTTTAGGGTTTAGGGTTTAGGGTTTAGGGTTTAGGGTTGAGGGTTTAGGGTTTAGGGTTTAGGGTCCACGGATCGTGATGCTATGGACCGAGTACTCCGTAGGACCAGGAGAAGCAAACCTGTAAAGCCGTCTCACAATGAGAGAATGGCCATCAAAAGCATTGAAAAGAAAGTATGGCCTTAACTACTATTTGCTTAAGAACCCCAAAAGAATAAACTATAATAATCAGTGTATTACCCTTAATAGGGAAGAATCTGTTTTTTGATTTTTTGGGGTTCTTAAGCAAGTAGTTGTTAATAACGATGAGTGCTGGTGCAAGTGGATCCCCCGATTGAGGCAACCAAAGTCACCCTTGTGCCTAAGATGAAACCCTAAACCCTAAACCCTAAACCCCAAACCCTAAACCCTAAACCCCAAACCCCAAATCCCAAACCCTAAACATCATGGCCTCGGCGGTGGTGGTGGTGGCGGTGGTGGCGGTGGTGGTGATGGAGGTGGTGGTTATGGTGGTGGTGATGGTGGTGATGGTGGTGGTGGCGGTGGTGGCGGTGGAGGTGATGGAGGTGATGGAGGTGATGGAGGTGATGGAGGTGTTGGTGATGGTGGTGGTGATGGTGGTGGTGGTGATGGTACGTGTGATGGTAGTGGTGCTGCTGGTGGTGCTGTTGGTGGTCGTGCTGCTGGTGCCATCGTCGTCGGTGGTAGTTGTGGTGGTGGTGGTAGTGGTGGTAGTGGTGGTAGTGGTGGAAGTGGTGGTAGTGGTGGTAGTGGTGGTAGTGGTGGTAGTGGTGTCAGGGGTGGAAGTGATGGTGGTGGTGGTGGTGGTGGTGGTGGTTGTGGTGGTGGTGGTGGTTGTTGCGGAATCACGGCCTGCGGTCGTTGTCGTTGTGGTCGTCTTAGCGGTGCGCAGCCACGAAACAAAGAGGCACACTGCTGTATCTGAGAGCGACTGATCTACTTCTCCCATCAATCATCTCCAAATCCCCGTGAACTCGGATGTAGCAGTTTCACCCAACACGCTAAACTGCCCGAAGCCCTGAACTAAAGACATGGGGAATGTGGAAGGGGGCGGCAACCCGAATCCCCAACAAGGAAAAGAGTACGACCAGGCAGCTTGCGGTAGCCGAGGCCTTCATGTGCCCCTGCAGTCTACATCCCTAAACCCTAAACCCTAAACCTTTAAACCTTTAAACCTTTAAACCTTTAAACCTTTAAACCTTTAAACCCTAAACCCTAAACCCTAAACCCTAAACCCTAAACCCTAAACCCTAAACCCGAACTTCAGGCTGCGGCGGTGGTGGTTGTCGTGGTGGTGGTTGTGATGCCCTAGGCTGGGGCAAGTCTCACTCAAGCCGACTGATGGCTCGGTTCCACCCCTGAAGGCCCAACAAACACACGCAACATTTCTCCTAGGTGGTTCAGGGTTTAGGGTTTAGGGTTCAAGGTTTAGGGTTTAGGGTTCAGGGTTCAGGGTTCAGGGTTCAGGGTTCAGGGTTCAGGGTTTAGGGTTTAGGGTTTAGGGTTTAGGGTTACGCAAAACCCCAGAACCAAGCACACCCTAAACTCGGAAATCTCTTGAACTCATCGAGGTCTAAACCCAGAAAGACCTAAACCTTGGGCTCTTCCCCATCATACTACCAGTCCTTAACAGTCCTTAAGAGGGCGTATTACAATCCCTGTCAGCATAAGCGGGAACATCCCAACCCAGAAAGACCAAAACCCCAAAAGCCTCTCCAAACCCCAAAAGCCCCAAACCGAAGAACAACCCTAAACCCCAACACCCTAAACCAGAAAAGCCCAGAACCCTGAAAGCCATACATCCAGAGAGTAAAAGCAGAACTCCCTAGACCCAGAAGAAGCCCCAAAAACCTCGGACAGTCCTAAACCCAGAAAGCCCTGAACTCAGAAAACACAGAACGCCCTAACTGAAATCCAGAAAACCCAAACCCTAAACCCTAAACCCTGAAGCCCGAACAACCCTAAACCCTAAAGAGCCCCAAACCTAGAAAACCGTCAAACCTCAAATGGCCATTCGGTCCAGGTTTCGAGGATGGCCTCAGCACGCCACGGTGAACCCAGGGTTTGAGGGTTGAGGGTTGAGGGTTGAGGGTTTAGGGTTTAGGGCTTAAGGTTTAGGAAGTTTTGGGGGGGCTTTCAGGGGCTTTCAGGGGCTTTTGGGGGGGGTTTTGGGGGGCTTTGAGGGGCTTCAGGGCCATGAATCAAGGCACCCCCAAACTCAAAAACAGAGGTAGAATTCCAAGGAACAGAATCCGACAAACCTCGCAACAAAAGAATCAGAACAGCTGAGAACCTGAACCGCCAGCCTCCCTAAACCCTCCCCCCGAAGACACACTCCTAAGCTTCTCCGACCTAAACGCACAACAAAAGAATCCTAAACCATAAACCCTAAATAAACCCTAAACCTTAAACCTTAAACCCTAAACCCTAAACCCTA